CAGTTCTAGGCAGAGGGGCCGGAGAGATGGCTCTAATGGTAAGATTCATGGCTGCCCTTGCAGAGGACCCGGGTTCAATTCCCAGCACTCACATGGTGGCTCACAACTGCCTGTAACTCCAGTTCCAGGGCATCTGATGCCCTCTTCCGGTCTCCGAGGACACCAGGTACACACTTGGTACACAGACATACACACAGACTAAACACTTCATAGGGCAAAATTAATTTTTCAGAGGTCGTTGGCAGAGGCCAGCCATGGTATCTCATACCCGTAACCTCAACATTTGAGAAGCAGAGAGAGTACCTGTAGAGGCCGGAAGAAGGCACTGGGTTCCTTGGAACTGGAGTGAGCTGCTGTGTGGGAGCTGGGAACCAAGCCCACGTCCTCTGAGAGAGCAGCACGTAACTTCTAACCACCTCTCCAGCCTCTGTTGTTCATTCTTCAACGTGCCTGTCATGACCGCCAACACCTGCTTCCTCCTGACAATACAGTCTCCCTGCCAGAGAAAGTTCCCTCTTCCTTCCCCCCAAAGGGAACCAGCCAAATCTCTACCGGTCACTGGTCACTGCCCAGGATGACAAAGGAATTTCATTCTCCCCTTAATCCACCACGATCCCACCCCTCATTCTATAATCTGTGTAGTGGGTTCCAAATATCACTGTCAAAAGCATCCCCATAGGACAGCAGTGGGCAGGGCGAGCAAAGGAAGCTTCGTTAAAGCAGATGAATACCCACAAGAAAGCTAGCAGTGGCATCCAGGTGCATACAATAGTTCTTATTTCCACAGCAGACTGCAGGCTGGTAATTGGCATTTATTTGTCATTTCATCCTCTCCCCCATTTGTCTTCATAAGCACCTCAGCTAGTCAGCTCTTCCTCAGGCAGGGTAATTTTAACCTTTTGTCTGGGGAAGGCTAAGCCTTGGGTAGTGTTGTCTATTGGGGGTTGCTAAAGTCTCCCACTGGCCTTCACCTGGCTTTAGAGCTTTTCTCATGGCTGTGACTTGACCAAAGCAACTTAAGGAACTTGGAAGGAAGGAAGGAAGGAAGGAAGGAAGGAAGGAAGGAAGGAAGGAAGGAAGGAAGGAAGGGTATATTCTGGCTCACGGTTTGAGGGGAAACAGACCATCATGGCAGCAGAACTGTCAGGTGACTGGCTTTGCTGCATTTGCCACCAGGAAGCAGAGAATTCACGCTGGTGCCCAGCTGGGTTCCTCCTTTGCCCTTTTTAATTCGGCTCAGGACTCTAGCCCGTGGGATGGTGTGGCTGACACTTAGTGTGGATCTTTCCAACTTAGTTAAGCCTCTCCGGAAACACCGTCACAGACACACCCCGGAGGGTCAGTCTGACTGTGAAGATGGACCATTGCGGGTTTAGACCGGAAACTTGACCTTAGGGGTCTCCAGTACAGTGAAGTCTATCTCATGGGTGCCCCAGAGGTCAGGGAGACCATGGTAAGCAGGCTAAACCAGGTCCTTGAGAAACAGTGTCTTGAGAGCCCAGCAGTCTAGACAGCACCATCAAAGTCACGGGGTCTTTCTCCTCCCCAAGCCCAGCCTTCCCTTTGCTACCTTCCCCAGGCCGGGACCACAACCATCCTTCCTGCCTGGGGACGGGCATGCTCAATTCACTCTCCCCAGAGGAAACCCACACCCTGAAACCATGCTGCAGACCTAATAGGACGAGGAAGTCCCCTGGACATTTCCCGCCCCCCTTGGCTCTCCTTACTACCACCCTGATTGTCCCAATGCCACAGTGCGGCAATTTCTCCCTGGCATTTCTCAGGAAATTATCTTTTCGCAAATCTCAAATTCTGAAAAATGGAGAGAGGTGTTGAAAGTTCTCCTTGAGGGCTGGAGTCTCATAATCCACAGGGGGAATGTTTACAGTTCAAAGGAATCCCTTTCTGCTAAATTGAAAACAGGCGTCAGAATCCTGGACACGTGGAGTTGAAGGTTAAAGCAGTATTCCCGGAACTGGGGGACAAGAGTCCATGGGGGGAGGAAGTGGCCACCTCATCAGGGGTCCTCCTTACCGCCCTCGCCAGCGCCGCCTTTATGTCAATGCATGTTTGTGGCCCTGTCTACTGCCAACGGCGAGTCAATCTTCCAAATAAAATAAATATTAATAAGTTTATTTGCATAGCATACATTATGCAGATCCTGTGGGCAATATTTCAGGAAATAGGTTTTAGAAGCAGACTAAGCCCCTAAATTGGCAATTTTTGTATGCATAGTGCCGCTAACCTTGCGGGGAGACCCAAATGTTACCATTCTTCAAATACCATCCTGTCACGGGCACTGCCTTTTTCCGGTGATTGAATATTAACTATGAACGAAATGCAAAGAGAAAAAAAAACTAGGAATGCTGTGGAATTCTCGGCCCCAAACTCAGAAGCGGATTCAATATATGAATGAGCGGAAGTGGCATCGATTTCAGTGACAGAAATGAAACCTGGGCTTGCAGACAATAAACGCGATTCATTGTTTGTGAAGAGTCTTGAGTATCCGAGTCACCACATTAAAAGTGCTCATTAGACACAGCCTTGGTCACTCCAGCTATGTCAACACCACCCCCACCCATCCCCTCACCCCTGAGGCACCACCAGAATTTTTGCTTTCTGTGTTTGGAATATTTGTTTCAAGACAGAGATCATGACTCCTGGGCTAGCTAATGACTTGCTGTCTGGATTTTAAAGTTTTCATTACACAATAAAAAAAATAATCATTAACCTAATGTGATGGTGCAGACCTTTAATCTCAGCACTCAAGAGGTAGAGGCAGGCTGCAGTATCTCTGTGAGTTCGAGGCCAGCCTGGTCTACATAGAGAGACTCAGGATAGCCAGGGCTACACAGGGAGGCGTGCACCACCACTCCCAGCTATTAGTTGTGATTTTTATATTTCCTTATTTTTGTTGTTGTTTTGTTTTTCAAGACAGGGTTTTCTTATGTAGCCCTGGCTGTCCTGGAACTGGCTCTGTAGACCAGGCTGGCCTCTAACTCACAGAGATCCGCCTGCCTCTGCCTCCCGAGTGCTGGGATTAAAGGCGTGCGCCACCACCCAACAGTATTTCCTTATTTTGATGGGTTTTGCTGGCCCAACATCTACACCGTGTAGAGAACTATTTTATGTTTTATTAAAATATAATCTTGTGAAAACAGAGTGGCTCTTAGTAATAACAGTCCATGCATTTCATATTATGTCTTTTTTTTAAGTAACCTCTGAGATTTTGAACATTACTTTGAAACTTGACGGGACTGTTTATTATCTACAGTCACACACCATTATTTAAAAACAGTGAGATGGAGAGAAATACACAATAGTGTATGATATCAGAAACTTCCAAGAGTTCTCAGGAATTCCACTTTCCCATTCCCAAATTTCCCAAATGAGGCTCAGTGGGGAAGCTGGAAACACATCACTGATGGATAATGATGCCTGAGGTAGACGGCCTTGAGCTTATCCCAGCACTGGGATGCTAGTTTGGCCTGAGGGTAGTTGCCCTACTCCAGTCTCAGTAACAGTGGTTGAGGGGAACAGCCCAACACCTGGAAGGCTTGCGTCACGCTAGACCCCAAAGAACTTCCTAAGCCTGAAGCACTCAGAATCAGGGGAGCCTGCCTCCCTCCTCCCTGGTCCCCAGGAGGAGAAAAGAATAGCATTTACCTGTCTCCTAATTTAGTCCTCCGCAAATGTCAACAGGAAAGGGAGGGGACTCAGCGCCCTGTCTCAGATCCCCAGTGAACACCCACGTTCCATATCCCTTCACCTTGCCTGTCCTGTGGAGGAGGGTGAGCCGGATGCTGCCTGGGATCTCTGCAAGATGGGTGTGGCTCTCGGGCAAGCAACACTGTCCCATTCAGAGCATCCTTTCTTTGGGCTTCCTGGACCCTCCGGAACTACAGAAAGGTATGGGGGGGCAGGTCACATAATAAAGAAACCAGGGTGTCGGGGCTGTCTGGTTCTTTGTCTTAGGGACACATGACGGTGGGTTCCGCTATCTATGGCTCCGATACAACACACCCCACGCCTCCTGGTTTAAAACAAGAGGGTTTTATTCGATCATAACCCTGCAGGGTTAGGGTTAGGGTGAGCTGACTCCTGGGATGCAGCGTCTACAGCTGCTTCCTTCCCAGGTGATGCCCCAGGTAGGAGGACCATGGGTTAGAGCCAGGTGGAAAGTTCAAGTCAGATGCCTGGATTCCTGGCTGTCACCTCAGGGATCTCAGGACCTCGCCCTGTGCCCTGGGCTCTCCACGGGGAGTGGGGGGCAGTGTCCTTGCTGAAACAACAGCAGAGGGAAAGAGGCTAGCACGGAACTGCTCAGATGCCACGTCAGCCTCACTGGAGCTCCGAAATGGAAGCTACTAGATAGGGAGAGAGAGAGAGAGAGAGAGAGAGAGAGAGAGAGAGAGAGAGAGAGAGAGAGAGAGAGAGAGAGAGGGAGGGAGGGAGGGAGGGAGGGAGGGAGGGAGGGAGGGAGGGAGGGAGAGAGAGAGAGAAGTGTGAAGGCTCATCGGGTCAGCAGTTGGAAGGCTTAGACAGAAAGATCTCTGCGAATTTGAAGGCGGCAGAGGCTGTATAAAATGTGTACCAGGTCAGCTGGGGCTAGAGTGAGACTCTGAGTTACAAACAAACAATGGAGGGCAAGAAGGAAGAGTCTTTGGTTTAGAGTATTTGCCAGTTTCTATGGTATAAGTGCTCTTATCCGGCTCATTCCAAAGGCAGAGATTCGAAGGGTCAGGGGTTCAAGGCCAGCCTTGACTACATAGTGAATTGGAGACAAATTTAAGCTACGTGAAACCCTGTCTCCAAAACAACAACAAAAGATTTACTGTGAGTTACCAGTTCATTATCAGTCAGCTCATAAAAATTCCTTCAGATTTACCAATTAGCCCTGACCTTGTTGGTACCAGCCAGTCAGCAACAGCTCACCAGGCCGCCCCGCCTTCCTAAATCCCAGGCAGGAATTAGCCCAAGACTCCTGTCCCAGTCTCGAGTAAGCCAGCCCGGAGTCACGTGAGACGGGAGCACGTAGGGCTGTGACTAGGCACGCTCCGCTGGAAGTCATCGGTGTAGCAGACTTCCACGCACACGGGGACTAGTGACGGGCACTGTGACACACCAGACGCCTTTACCAGGTATTTCACAATGCTACCCTTGTCAGCCTGGCGCAGCGAGAATTCCCATTTTAAAAATAATGACCCTGGGGTCAGGCAGGGTGGCAGGGCACATGTGTGCCAGGAGGGGAGGGACACCACACAGGTCAGATGGCGCTAGGGGACTGGAGGGGAACAGGCAACGTCAGTGTCTGTCGAATGAGTGCTTCTCAGACTCAGACTGTGGGAGCTGGGACCAGCACAGGGGATTAAGAACTGACTCGAACAAACTGAGCATTAGCAGTGATAAATGAAACTCAGCTGAACACTTGCTGTGTGCAAGAGACTGATAAGAATTTTGCACACATTATGTCATCTAATCCTTACAACCCTATGTAAGACACGAACCCATAAGGCGTCGGTTCCCAACCTTCCTAACGCTGTGACCCTTTAATACTGTTCCTCATGCTGTAGCGACCCCCAACCCAAAATTCTTTTGTTGCAGCTGAGCAGTAGTGGCGCACGCCTTTAATCCCAGCACTCGGGAGGCAGAGGCAGGCGGATCTCTGTGAGTTTAGGGCCAGCCTGGTCTACAAAGCGAGTTCCAGGACAGCCTCCAAAGCTACACAGAGAAACTCTTTCTTGAAAAATCAAAAAAAAAATTGTTGCTACTTCATAACCGTAATTTTGCTTCTGTTTTGAATCATAATGTAAACACCTGATATGCAGGACATCTGATATCTGACCCCCAGAGGGGTCACAATTCACAGGTTGAGAACCACTGCTAAGGGCACAGAGAAGTTACCAGACTCTCAGGGTCACACAGCGAAAAGAGAATAGAGCCAAGATTTGAACTCCAAACTGCCCGTGGTTGAAGTTCAAGGATTTGTATTTGTCTCTTTTTTTTTTTTCACGTTTTAAACACCATCTCATGCAGTTCAGGCTCAAACTTGCTATATAACCAAGGATGACTTGGAACTTCTGTTCCTCGTGCCTTCACCTCCCAAGTGCTGGGATTACAGACATGGCCAGCCTCAGCTACACAGCAATTTTGAGGCCAACTCTGCCTAAACAAAACAAAGGCCTGTATTCTGCCCACATGGTACCCAGAGAGGTGGTATCAGCTGGAAGAAAAACCAATGAAATTCGGAGTGACGGGTGGGTTACAGGCACCCACTTAACGCTGAAGCTGAGGCCAACACCCTCATGTCTAGAGCCCTTGCCAGAGCCCCGTGAAGCTTCCCCAGCGAGTGACCTGCTGGCGTCCTGTTGGTCTGCACACGGGAAGAGTCGAGTGTAGAGAAGAGCCCGTCCCCATTCCTCCCCACGTGTAGCCAGGCGCCTCTCGCTGACTCTTCTCTGCCATGTGTGGGCAGGCCGGGCATTGCCAGGAGCCAGGTGCCTGCTGCACCGAGAGGTAATTTATGAACTGTGGGTATTTTGTCTGTTTACTTGAAAGCACAAAAATTTGTCACTTGTGTGGGTAATTTGCTACTAATTACGAGCTTACAATCTGCAGATAGGAAAATCAGGGCCAACGTGCGCTTCTTGAGGAACAGGGAAATTACCCCAAGTACCGTGTAATTATACACTTAGCGGGCACAGCATTCCCAACCCTCACCCTTCCCACATGGGCTGACGGTGCAGGGTGAGTTTGCACACACGCCCACGGAGACTCCTTCCCCAGGAGGGGAGGGCTCGCCTGCCGTGAGGCCCAGAACCACAGCAGAGCCTGGCCACTCTGCCTCCCTGCCAGACAGTGGTGCTGTAAGTCTTGGGCGCCTCCCTCAAGTTACACAGACTTGAGAGACGAAGGGGAAGGTGCAGTCTAGACCTCAAGAAGCCCTTAGTCTAACAGAGGAGATGTGACCAGGGGACAGACACCAGCCTTCCAGGAGCCCCCAACCGGATCAGACCGCACTGTTGCGGACTCCCGGAGTTGTGGGTATGATGGAGACACTGTGGTGAGGGGAGACACAGTTTCTGGCTACAGGAGGCAGACCTGCTCAAGGTTCCGTTTGGGTGGAGCCTCCCTCGTACAGCACCCCTCTGTTGCACAGGAAGCTGGTGCTCGTGTCTCTGGGTATCTTTCTCTCCAGGGAAACTGAAGGTGGGTACACCATTATCTCAGCCTGTTGTGGAAGGTGTGTCCCCATATTAGTAACTTTTCTCATTGCTGTGGTAAAATACTGGACAAGAAGCAGCTGAAGGAGAGAGGGTTTCTTTTGGTGTGAGTGTGTGAGGGTTTCTTTTGGTTCCTCATCGTGGCCGGGAAGGTGTAGCAGCAGGTTTGAGAGACCGCTGTTTACAGTGCATCCGCCATCAGGAAACAGAACAGAAGCTGGGCTCTGTTATAAAGCCCCAAGGTGATTCACTTCCTCCTGCCAGGCCCCGCTTCCCAAAGGTTTCACAGCCTTCACAAACAGCGCCACCCTCTGGAGACTACCTGTTCAAACACACAGGCCTATGGAGGGCATTTTACCAGCAAGCCAGGGCAGTTTCCAAAGCTCAGCTGCTGTGCTTTGCATCTGGACAGTTCTTAAGGCTGATAGACTAGAGGCGTGGGCTTTGGAGGCAGTAGAACCTTCAGGAGGCAGGGTCTATCTGAAGGCCTCCAGCTAGAATGCTCAGCAGTTAAGAGCCCTGGCTGCTCTTCAAGAAGTTCCAGGTTCAATCCCCAGCACGCACATGACAGATCACAGCTGACTGTAACTCCATTTCCAGGGGGTCTGACACCCTCACACAGACATACATGCAGGCAAAACACCAATGCATGCGAAATGAAAATAAATTTAAAAAAGAAAAAGAAGGCCTCTAGTTACTGTGAACCCCATCCTTGCTGGCACTGTCTGCTTCCTGGCTGCCATGAAGTGAGCGGCTTCTTCTACGGTGTACACTCTGGCTGCAGCCTCAAAGTAATGGGGCCAGCCGGTTGCAAGCCACAAAACTGTCAGTGTAAACAAAGATGCTCTCCTATTTTTACATTTAAATTTCTATTAGATTTATTTTCTTATTGTATGTATATGAGTGTTTTGCCTGCCTGCATGTGTGTGTGCCACATGGATGCCTGATATCTGTGGAGGCCAGGAAAGATCATCAGATCCCCTGGAACTGGAGTTACAGAGCCTCCACATGGGTGTTGAGAATCAAACTGGGGTCCTCTGCAAGAGCAGCCAGTGTTTTTAAACCCTGAGCCACCTCCCCAGATGTTTTTCTTGCTTTTGGTGCAAAGTCTTACTCAGTAGCTGGAGCTCGGTGTATAGATCTGGTTGACCGAATTATTGCAGCAATCCTCCTGCCTCAGCCTCTCAAGAGCTGGGGTTACAGCCTGTACCACCATTATCAGATTTTCTTTCTTTTCTCTTTTTTTGTTCTTGCTTTTTGTCTGTTTGATTTTCAGGACAGGGTTTCTCTGTGTAATAGCCTGACCTATCCTGGAACTCACTCTGTAGACCAGCCTGGCCTTGAACTCACAGAGATTCACCTGCCTCTGCCTCTTGAGTGCTGGGATTAAAGACATGAGCCACCACCACCCAATCAGATTTATTTCCTTTCTTCCTTCCTTCTTTCCTTCCTTTTCTTTCCTTTAAAAATGTAAAATTTATGCCTGGCATTGGTGGCACACAAAAACAAAACAAAACAAAATTTTAATTTATAACCCAGGTGGTGGTGACATACACATTTTTCCCCCTTTGGTTTTTCGAGATAGGGTTTCTCTATATTGTTTTGGAGGCTGTCCTGGAACTCTCTCTGTAGACCAGGCTGGCCTCGAACTCACAGAGATCCACCTGTCTCTGCCTCCCGAGTGCTAGGATTAAAGACGTGTGCCACCAATGCCCAGCGACATGCACATTTAATCCCAGTACTCAGGAGGCAGAGGCAGGCGGATCTCTGTGAGTTCCAGGCCAACCTGGTCTACAGAGTAAGGACATCCAGGGCTACACAAAGAAACCCTGTCTCAAAAAACAAACAAAGCAAAATTAAATTTATTATGTCTCTCTCTCTTGTGTGTCTGTATGTATGTGTGTGTGTGTGTGTATGTATGTGTGTGTGTGTGTATGTGTGTGAGTGTGTGTGTGAGAGAGAGAGATGTTGAGGGTAGAGCAAGTATGTGCCAAAGCACATGTGTGGAACCCAGAGGACTCCTTTGTGGATCTTTTTTCTCTTTTCTCCTTTATTTGCGTCCTGGGAATTTCGCTCAGGTCATGACACTGGAACAGCAAACGCTTGCTGCTGAGCCGCCCCAATAGCCCTCTTTGTTTATCTTTGGTTTGTTATATTCTGTTTGAGACAAGATTTCATGTAGCCCAGGATGGCCCCAAACTATGTAATAGAGGATGGCCTTGACCGCTCTGATCCTCTCAAGGGCTGGATCACCGCCAGCCTGTGCTACCACACGCGGTGGGGGAGGCGGAACCCAGGGCTTCATGTTTAGGCGGGTATTGTCCCAACCAGGAGATGTTACAGGTCCCGCCTTCCTCTTCCTTCACTGATTTATCTCCGGTGTTTTGTTACAGTGACAGAGGTCTGTCTAACACTCTGTAGAGGTGCCAGGACCCGCTCTGCCTGTCCCCCGAGTCTGTCCAGCTGTCCCCTGTGGCAGGGCAACGCGTTAGATGATTCTGGAAGTCCCTGTCTTCCCTTCCAGATCCCCTTTATTTGCTGTCCTAAATCATTCATGACTTGTAATAAAGGCCTCCCTGGCCCCCTCCCAGCCCCCCGCAGAAAATATTATTTAACAGAAAGGTGACAGTTATGTAATTTAGTCTCGGTCTCCATTATTGATGAATTTGACCATGAAATATTTAGGCGCCTCTGTGTTCTGTCGCTCAGGGTCTGGCAGGAACAATGTCACATTCCACTTCATCCCCATGGAGGAGGAAGGCTCTCCCTCTCCCACTCCTGACTGCACCCGTCTCTCCTCACAAAGGCCTTCTACCCCCCCCCCCCCACGTAGGCCTCTACTCAGCACTGGTGTCAAGGGTTCTCTTGGCATCGGCAGCCGAGTGGCCACAGTCCAGAAAGGAGCCTGTGAACTGAAGGCCGAGTGAGTGAGTGTAATGCCAACTAGCCAATTCTCTCCCGACTCCATAACGGAGACAAGCTGAGAACTTCTTTGCATTTGAGAAAATGTGGAGGCTCAAAGAGGTCGAGACAGCTCCTCGGGGTCACCCAGCTAGCCCGCACTGGGTGGCACCTTTACTTTTTAAGCCTTCATCTTCTCTTCTCTGTTTTCAGGGACTCCTAGACAAGTGCTCTTTCTGTCCTGGATCATATTCCTGGGCTGGGAATTCTGGGAAGGGTGGAGGAAAGAGAGGACAGGAGTCTGTCCTGGAAGGGTTCCCAGCCTGGTGGAGGTGGCGTCCTGGGGACCTTCTTTAACAGCAGGAAGACGCGGCCAATTCTGGGGGCCCAAGGGGCAGTTAAGCTGCAGAGGGGAATCTAAGGCCTGGGCGTCTCTTTCCTGTCATAGGAGCCAGAAGGAAAGACTTGATCTTTTTGACTTGGCACAGCCCCCAGGCAGCCCTGTAACTCCTTGGGAGTGGGGACAGGCCCCTCAGAAGTCACCAGCAAGGTCTTTTCCCTCCTGGCTCTGCAGGCCAACTGTCTGTCTGTCTGATGATTGATGAGCAACTCTGATGTGATGTTAAAATATGCATTAGGCTAATTGCATGCTAATTAGACAGACGAGGCCATTAGGGCTGCTTGGGGGCCCATCTGTGCTCTGGTGTGTCCCAGTGTGCTGACAGAGCTGGGGTCTGCTCACACGGGAGACCCAGGCTGCCAGGGAGGATGGGCAAGGTGACCTTTGAACAAGCTGCTGGGATGCCAGGCTGAGCAGGGCCGGTGGGCGGAGGACCGTGGAGCCGGTTCAAAGCCAGGGATTATGTGCTTTTCAGGGAGAGAAGGATGCTGGCAGGGCCTCTCGGTGTAGTTTAGACTGGTCTCGAACTCACTACAGCTGGCTTCGGATTTGGGATCCTCTGTGTGTGGGGATCGCAGGCTACCATGCCTGCCTTGCAAGGAAGAGCCTTTTGAACTCAAGTTATTAAATGATTGCCCTCACTTAATAAGGTCCCTGTGAGTGAGGTCCCTGTAAGCCAGCAGGCACATGAGCTTCCCCAAAGCACTCGGGATGGGGGAGTGGATTTGAGGTTCCAGTGAAGCCCCTGGGTTCCTGCCACTTCATCTGCCCAGATGTCCCCTGCCAACCCGAGGCCAGTGTGCCCTTGGGCTCTCATGTGAGGAGCAGGGAGGAGACTGAGAGCTAATGCTGTTCTCACATCTCACACCCAAAGTGTGCTCTGGGAGTCCAGAGCTCTGGGGAGAGAGAGGACCCATGGAGACCACCCAGTCCACCCTCCCTCACAGCACCATCCTGTCCCTGCAGGAGAGAGGTTTCCGTTAGGACCGGGGACACAGTCGTTTCATCGTCTGGTGCCTCGAGTGTGTAAATATTTCATATCCCCATTGAATATTTTGGGATGATTATGAATTCTTGATGCGGTAAGAACTTGGTATGTATAAGATGTGGGCAGCCGGTGGGAAGGAGGCACGGGGGATGTCGATGAGGTTGCCACTCCACGCTGGAGCCCCACACACCTCGCTCCCCACACGGGCTCCCTCACATACCGCCAATGTGGCGTCCACAGCCCGGCCACGACATGTACCATACACGCCCCCGCCCAGCTACTCTCTGTTACATAGGTACCACTGTCGCCTTCACCAGCCAGCCAGCCAGCACACGGCCATTCCAAGAGGAGGCCCATGGTCAGCATCTTACGTGAGGTCATAGGGCAGGAGTCATGACCTTTTCACTACAGAAAAGAGATGGGGAACCCCCCCCCCAAGGCCACACAGAGCCAAAATGACCCCTGTGCCGGAACAAGCTCTCTGTTTGCTTGTGTAAGTTGCGTTGATTACCAAGGGTCTTGTCCACTGGGGGAAGAAAGACTCATGGGTCAGAGGAATCGAGGCTGACCCGGTGCCGAGAACCAGATGTCTGGCGCACATGACTGTGTTCTGTTGACCTGCGAGTCTTTGGGGCAGTTTCTAATCCTGTCTACTCTTCTCGTAGGAGCCTCATTAGTCACTGCTCATGTCACTGTGGCCAAATACCAGGTGAGAAGGGACCTAAAGGAGGCTTTCAGGAGGAGGGGCTATAGTCACATACAGCACACACATGTACATACGAAAATAAAATTAAGAGTGGCAGGTACCCACAGACCCCCAGTAGATGGAATCTGACCCACCCTGTTTTCCTATTTATTTTTTTGTGGATGCATGTGCACCTGCATGTATGTATATGTACCATGTGTGTACCTGGTTCCCACAGAGCTCAGAAAAAGGCATCATATCCCTGGAACTGGACAGCGGTAAGCTGCCATGTGGGTCCTGGGAACTGAGCCCAGGACCTCTGCAAGAGCAGCCAGTGCCCTTGGCTGCTGAGCCATCTCTCCAGCCCTGAGGCCCCACCTTCCTGCCTACCCACGACTTAGCCTCTGTGACCTGTTTCAACATTTAGATGTCTTTCCTGAGGTGTTTTGTTTTGCTCTGCTTTCACTCAGGGTCTCATGGAGGTGGCCAGGCTGGCCTGAATTTGCTATGCACTCAAGCATCTGCTCTGTTTTCCTCCACCTCTTTTTTTTTTAATTTTTAATTTTTATGTGCGATGGTGTTCGACATGCATGTCTTTGTGAAGGAGTCAGATCCCTGGAGTTACAGACAGTTGTGAGCTGCCATGTGGGTGCTGGGAATTGAACCTGGGTCCTCTGGAAGAGCAGCCAATGGTCCTAACTGCTGAGCCATCTCTCCAGCCTTTTCCTCCACCTCTTGAGTGTTGATATTACAGGCATGCACCGCTGTGCCCAGTTTAGGCAGTGCTGAAGATTGAACCCAGGGCTTTGGGCATGCCAAGAAAGCACTCTACCAACCAAGCCACACACCCCATTCCCAACATCAGGTTTAGGGGTGCACTGGAGGATGGTCAAGGTTAGAGCAACGCATGGGGGGGTCTTATGGATCCTTTGCGTGTGGGGACCAGACTCAAAGTAGGAGAGTGACCTGAGGTCACACTTCCAGTTGACAACAGGCCTGTCCCCAAAGCTCTGTGCTTTGATCGTGGTCTCAGTACCAGTTGCAAACAGTCTTCTGGCATCCAGGAGTGCGTGGGTGTCCCCCTCCCACTCAAGGACAAGCTGGCACTTCTCAGAATGATACCCACATGGTCCCAGCGGTGCCCACATGGTCCCAGTGATGCCCACATCTAGGCAAAAAGGGTCTAGATGAGGTGGCCTTTCCCCTGCCTAGTCTCTCACAGTCAGGTCCTTCTCACCTTCTCAAGGGCTGGTTTGACTTCAGACCCACTTCTGACCTCCGCCCTCTCTTCTCCCCAGAGATGGCCTCTCAAGGGCTGTTTACCAGACTCTGTGTCAGCTAGCTTCCTGCTGGCCTTGACTGCTGTTGGAGTAGCCTTGGGGTATAGAATGGCTCCCTGCCTGTGTCCCTATAGTATAAGGGCACAAACCATCAGTTTCCTCCTCCGACCAACCTGAGTTGTCTTACCATCCTTGTCTGACCAGCTGTCTGTCTTATACTCCTCCTGTCTGAGACATCTGGAGTGCTGTCTACTTTCTGCCCGGATGCTCTCTGGCAATTCAGTAGAATCCCCGTGCCAGGGGAGGGAGAAGAGGGCCCCTCCCCTCCACGGTTTCCCTTTCTCTCTGGGCGCTCTTCTAACCACTGTCACCTCCATCACTCACTCTGGTAACGCTCATTTCTCAGGTGCCCACCAGCTGCCCGGTTCCCAAACCATAAGCAGAGTACATACACTGGGCACCATAGCCCTGCTAGGTGTGTTAAATGCTCACAGAAACACACAGCAGCACCTCAGAAGCATCAGGCGGGGGTGGTGGGGGTGGGGGGGTCACGTTCATGGTGAACATTATAATGTGCTAGATACCTGGGTTTTTGTTTGTTTCGTTTTTTGCTTTTCAAGACAGGGTTTCTCTGTGGCTTTGGAGGCTGTCCTGGAACTAGCTCTTGTAGACCAGGCTGGTCTCAAACTCACAGAGATCCGCCTGCCTCTGCCTCCCGAGCGCTGGGATTAAAGGCGTGTGCCACCACCACTCAGCTACACATAATGTTTTTTAAAGGATATTATTGGAAAATTCTAAACCAATGCAATTTTAAGTATTTTTATTACGCTGTTAGACTTGTGCTTTTAGTTATTATTAATCTCTTACCAGTCCCAATTTATGAATTATACTTTATCATAATTATGTGTACAGAGGAAAAACATACAATACATACATTTTGGGCTCTATCTTCAGTTTCAGGCACTTGCAGAATGTCTTAGAACAAACATAAAGAGGCAGCAAGATGGCAGATTGGGTAAAGGTGTCTGCTACCAAACCTAATGACCTGTGTTTGATTCATTGGACCCGTGTGGTACAAAGGGAGAACCAAATCCTACAAGTTGTCCTCTGAACACCCTAAGCGCACCAAGGCAGCTCTGTGCACACACACTAGATAAACAAATGTCATTTTTTAAAAAATGAAATGAAACTGGATGTAGTAGTACATACTTAATCCTCTATTTTGGGAGGTAGATTAGAAACATCATGAGTTCAAGGTCACTTGCAGCTACGTAGGGAATCTGAGGCCAGCCTGGGTTCCACGAAAACAAACAAACAAACAAACAAACAATGAAAAGAATAGCCCTTAAGAAGCTCTGAGTCT